ATGGAAGCTCATTTCAGTTCTAATTAAGATTTTGCTTAATCTATACACTCTTCTTTTGTCATATCTCTATGCTTTCTTAATGAGCATAATCCTTTTAATTGACATCTCTTTAACACGTTTTGTTTTTTTCATATCTCCGTGCTTCTTAATGAGCATAGCCCTTTTAATTGACATCTCTTTAACACGATCTGTTTTTCCGTATTATCAATGGTATTTTTCTTCTAGTTTCTTGAATTTCCTTCTCACTTTTTCACTCGATTTGTTATGCTTCTCTTTGACATCACATCGTTAATGTCTTTCTATTATATCTCTTTCTTTTTTTAAATCCCCGACTAGTGTTGTATGTAAATTGTTCTTCTCTCGCTCTCTTTCATCTTTCCATCACATTTTATAAAGACTTCTAAACGAAATTAATTAAATATATAATTTGATTGACTATTGTCGTTTTCCAAAATTTCATCTCATCTCTGTCAAATGCTCGAAGTAAAATAAATAAAAAAAACATAAACATAAAATATATATCTCAACTGATTCATTTTTCTGTTCATTGAACTCGATTAAATGTCATCATCGTCAGCATCAGCACAAACTATTCTTTACATTGCTCATGTGTATAGTATATACGTGTTTACAACTGTATTTATTACTGGACTTGTCGGAAACCTTTGTAATATTGTTATTTTTATCAGCCTCAAACAATTTCGACATTTTCCAGGCGCCTTCTATATTACTGTTGAATCTATTGCCAATTGCGCTTTATTATTGGTTGGTCTAATGCCGCGAATTGTCAATGAAACGTTTGGCTCTGATCCATCCTACACTTTACTCATCTGGTGTAAACTACGAAATCCAGCAACTCAATGGTGTACATTAATAGGGTTATCTGCAATCAATTTTGCAGCTTTCGATCAATATCTTTCTACCAATTGTGATTCTCGCTTTCGACAACTGAGTACGACTAAATTAGCCAAATATCTTATCGGTGTCGCATTGATCATTTGGCTTCTCTATCAGATTCCATTCGTTATATTTTCTAACATACAAGCAACTGTTGGTTGTCTTTTGACAAGTGTTGAACTATTGCGCTACTACTCATTTTTTCATTTATTGGTTCTTAATGGTCTCCTACCTGTTTTTCTCACAACCACATTCAGTATATTAGCTTATCGAAATGTTCGTCGAATTCGTCGACAACAGATGAATAATATTCGTCGACGACTCGATCATCAATTAACAGCAATGATTCTTGCTCGTGTCACATTTTTAGTCCTTTGTCTTTTACCATTCATTATTCAACGTTTCTACATGGCTAATGCACATACCGATCCAAAGGATGTCTTGCGAATAGCAATCGAAAAACTGGTCGGAGCAATCAATATTGTGCTCAGTTATCTCAATGTTTCAGTATGTCTATTTGTTTGTTAATCATTCATTCAATTGATAAAAATGAATTTCTAGGGAACATTCTACGTATTTCTATTGGTATCAACTCGATTTCGTCGACAAATGAAATATGTTCTAAGGAAAATGTTCTGGCGACATTTTCAAGCAATAATCAGGTGCCATCAATTGTGCTGTAACAATCGAATAGCATCGGTGTCGAATGTCGATGACAATTATTGCGATAATTCAACGCCAGCCAATTGATCATACACAAGGAAGACACGACGAAAATATAAAATCTATTTTTCTATCAATTTATTCTTGTGTGTTAAAGAAAACTAATTACATGAAATGAATTATTGTGTAACTCGCGAAAAAGTAGCAAATAAAGTAAATGAAGCATCTTTTTATTCTCCTTATTCGATTCGAATCAGATGATAAGAATGATAGCAATCATGCAAGATTCATCAATGCAATAATCATCTTTATTCAATGTATCGGTTTTGAACAAAATGTGTCTCTTGGCAATTTCGAAGATCTTCCAGGAGTGTATCAACTCGTAAAGAGAAATTTACAGAACTTTCGTAATTAGTTTTGTATTGCATTCATAACCAGATTGAAAGACTACTACACTATAGAGAACAGAGTCTTTGTAGCGAATACCCTTACTTAAAAATATCTGTTAAGTCAGTAGGTGTCATCCGTTCGTGACAACTGTCATGTATTTAAATGTTCTTAACACGTAGTACTATCCGGTATATTAATCATCTGCACACACTTACAGATGTCGCAGTCACTTCTAAACATTGCCTCTTTCGACATGGTGGGTGTCGGTGTGGGTGGGTATGGTTGTTGATACCAGAAAAGACACCCACACCCACACCCTTCTTTCTATTTCTCAAATCTTCTTGAAATATAAAACTTTTATTTTTAACAGCAGAGAAAATATTTTGTA